AGATATTCGAGCCAGTTGAAACCCAATACATTACAAGTGTAATCCTGCATTTTCTCTAAAAAAAGAAAAATGAATCTTAGGATAGGCTAAGCTGCAAAGTATCCACTCGTTCAATTCACCGTATCCCGTGAAAGAAAGGACACGTGCTTAAAAGCTTCAGACCACCCCTGGCTTTTGCAACTTTTTGCTTGAAACTCTCAAACTGTGCAAAATTACGAGAAGCCTGTGTCATATGCTGGCTCTTTTTAGGCAAGTGTTTATGCGTTAACCTGCAGCGGTTTCCTTTTGACCTGCTCTGTGCAGAACGGACCCTGATTGATGACTGCAGGAGCCGGATAGGAACCAGCGGATTAGAGCCGTCGCTGCCGTGACCTCTGATGGGTCCGCCATGTGAGGTATAGCAGCTGACCTTTGACCTTTTTACTTCGTTCCAAAGCTCAGCAAGCCACTTTGCTGTCTGAGTATTGGACCTTAGCATGTTGATAATACTCTAATAAGCACAAAACTACATAACCCACATCAATATCGGGTAAAATAGTCTATATTTAGCGATGGTTTTCAAGTACATTGTAATGTAATGCTTTTGCATTCTAAAAACCTCGAGCATTCTAGAATTTGTTCATGTTATGAAGCCTATTAGTGCTGTCTAGGTAGGGGGCTTGCTAGGTTTTGGAACAGAGCGTGTGCAAGTTGATTTATTGAAATCATCATGCCAAAGAGCGTTTTATAGCATGCAAAGCAAGTGAAATATTGGGGTTGTCACTGGCCTTTTAAGGCTTTAACCAAAACATGTCACGGCAGAGAAAATAACCATGATGCTATCCAGAGGAACGTTTGTTTGGGAGTTTGACAAAAAGCCCTGTTGGGTCAGCGGGCAGCCGGAGCGGTGAGACCCATGGTCAAAGCAGGGGAATGTGATATATTGTGGCAGGAAGATTAAACCAGACCAGCATGGCCTCAAGCCCAACCGACCAGCAAGACAAACAAAGGCCGGAGAAGAACATGCCATGGGGGAGGATGAGAAACCCGCCGAAATCTTACAATCACATCCAATGCACTGCCTGCCGGTCTTCATTGGTTGCACTGTCCACGTTTTAGAGTAATGAAAGTCGTCGAAGGTAGTATTGGAATTACAAACCTAACCATCAAGCATTTAAGTGTAGATCTCTATAGAAAAGAAGTCATTAAAGGAGTAGTTCACTTTAAAAAAAAAACTTTTGCTGATAATTTACTCACCCCCATGTCATTCAAGAAATTAAGGTTTTTGATAAAAACATTCCAGGATTTTTCTCCATATAATGGACTTCAATGGGGTCCAAACGGTTCAAGGTCCAAATGAGAGTTTCAGTGCAAACTACAAACTGTTCAAAGGGCTTTAAACGATTCCAGACGATGAATAAGGGTCTTATCTAGCGAAACGATCGCACGTTTCAAAAATAAATAAAAAAGTTTAAGTTTTATAAGCTCAAATGCTCGCCTTGCTCTGTTCTGTGACGCGCGTTCGTGACTCTCCTGTTCAAACTCGTTCATTAAAACGAGTTCATAAAACTTAAACTTTGTTATTTATTTTTTAAATGAGCGATCGTTTCGCTTGATAAGACCCTTATTCATCGTCTGGTGTCATTTAAAGCCCTTTGAAGCGGCACTGAAACTCTCATTTGGACCTTGAACCGTTTGGACCCCATTGAAGTCCATTATATGGAGAAAAATCCTGGAGTGTTTTAATCAAAAACCTTCATTTCTTTTCGACTGAAGAAAGAATGACATGGACATCTTGGATGACATGGGGGTGAGTAAATTATCCGCAAAAGTTGTTTTTTAAAGTGAACTACTCCTTTAAAAGAGTCGTTCACCCCAAAATAATTTATTTGCCTTCATGTTATAAACCCAAATGCATTTTTTTTTTCCAGTGGAAGAGCAGATTATTTGATGCCAATGTCACAATGTACAATTTTTGAACAAAATTGTGATTATAAATGGCATCAAAGACTTATGTTTATATTTACCGTTCATTTTTATTTTTATTAATACTCTTATTCAGCAAGGATGTATTAAATGGATCAAATTGATCAAAATTAAGATTTATTACATTAATAACGTAATAAATGCTTTTATTTATTGCAAATTATTTATTATAAATAAATAAATTAGCATTTATAATGTAACAAATGCTGTTATTTTTAACTTTCTATTCATCAAAAATCCTGAAAATATCAAATCATCATATTAGAGTGATTTCTGAAGGATCATGTGACACATGCGGACTGGAGTGATGCTGAAAATACAGCTTTCATCACAGGAATAATTTACACTTTATTGTATATTCATTGTTATTTTAAACTGTAATACATTATTGAATGTTTTTACTGTATTTTTGGTTAATTTAATTTAACATTAGAAATATTTGAACGGTAGTGTATATTTTTTTACAAATATTTATTCAACATTAACAACACAACCCATGTGGGCGACGTGGGAGTTTTTGAGGTGATATACATCAACGGGATCATGAAAAACATGACTGTTAGCGTATATCTCCCCATGTGTTTGGGAAAAGTTTAACACAAAACCTAATTAAAGTTTATGAAGTGTCACCTTTTCCTAGTAAAAGTCACAGAAACAACTCTGACTCTTTTCTTAGCATCAGTCTCATGACCTACATTACACATACTCACAGTGGAGTCAGATCACTCTTCCGCTTTCTCTCTGTGGCGGTCGCTCCGTGCCTCCACATGGGACGTGTCCTACATGTTGGACCCGGTCCCGTAATCTGCTTTCACTGAGCTGTTATCTGGAGAATAGGAGACACCATTGTCCTCTTCCTCCACCCATGGTCAAACACTCATGTTGGCCTGGAGAGATGGGCTGTTGTTGTCCCCATTTTTCACAGTGTGTTGTGTTTAACCGAACCGGACTACACCGTCGTTGTTGTGCTCTAAAAATGAAGTCCAAAGTATTCACGGATATGTTTTAACCACAGTCTTACTGACACATCTAATTTGAAGTGTATTCGTTTCTTAAAGGAATACACCATGATTTGTGTTTTTTCCATGCCTGAAGTGAATGGGGAAAGAAAATGTCAAACTCACTAGAAATGTTAGTGCACTACTCCTTTAAAAACGTAGTTTTGCATGATGAACAGACCCAAATTTAAATCTATATTTGATGAAAAATCTAAAAAGTACACTAATGTTTAAAAGACTGGACTTTTATTTACCAAGGATGCATTTCCTGGACATTTATAATGATACGTTATTTTAACCCAAATTTGGATCAAATATGGATCAAAAAATGTACAGTTGAAAGTGAAAGTTGGGTTACATTTTTAAATTACATTTAATTTAAAATTTACATTTTACATTTAAAAACAACCCAACATTGTTTAGAGTGTAGGAAAGATTTCTGTTTCATTTCTGTTATATTTGTCAAAGAACCAGTGTTATAATTTCAACATTGATAATAACAAGAAATGTTTCTTGAGCATCAAATTATCATATTAGAGTGATTTCTGAAGGATCATGTGACACTGAAGACTGATGCTGAAAATACAGCTTTGATCACAGGAATAAATTACATTTTAAAACATATTTAAAGAAAAAACGGTTATTTTGAATTACAATTATATTTCACAATATTACTGTTTTAACTCAATTTTTGATCTATTAAATGCAGCCTTTGTGAGAAAGAGACTCCGTCAAAAACATTAGAAAATCTTACTTTTGAAAGGTATAATCACAAATCACTTCATCAAACAGTGCTTCACGCGTTTAGTGACCAATATCATTGATGTCAAACTTTAATGTCTCTTTTTGTCATAGCTTGAAAACTCCATTTGCAATTCACACTGTAAAAATGAATGCGCTTTATCCACGGGAATTCGTACGAATTTTACGAGGTGGCTAATTCGTAACAATTCGTACGACCTCACTCGCATACGAATTAGTACGGTTTTGCTAAATCGTACATATTTTACGAATTAGCCAATTCGTATGAATGACCTACCCCTGACCCCGCCCCTAAACATAACCGTCACGTGGGTTTAGACAAATCGTACAAATTCGTACGAGTGAGGTCGTATGAATTAGTACGAATTAGCCACTTTTGAATCACTCGTACGAATTGGTCGTGAGATAGGGTAGCTTTATCTAATCAAAAAAATTGGGGCAACAGATTATAAGCAATATTATTAATTCAGTTTAACAAATTAGAATTGAGTAATATATACTCAAATGAATTCCTTAAAAGTAAACCATTTAAAATGAGTAAAACTTACCAAAAAAAAAAAACTTAAATTTAAGTCACCATTATGGTGATCAGTGTTTGTTTTAGGTTTCTCCTTTAGTGATTCTGCTTGTTGACATCAGATGTCTTCAATGTTCGCAATATAAAATAAAGAGTTCCTACTTAATCTTTGACCTCTGTCTGTTTTTCGGATATTTTTTGTTTAATGTTTTGGTGTAAACTTTACTCATTTTTAAATTTAACTTTAGATTAATTATTACTCAATTCTAATTTGTTCAATTTAATTACTTGTAATTACTTGCTTGTAATCTGTTACCACAATTTTATTGATTAGATAAAGCGTATTAATTTTTACCATACACTCTAAAAATGTTGGGTTGTTGTCTAAAATTGACAAACCCAAACGTTGGGTTAAAAATGTAATAAAAAATGTAACCCAATGGCTGGGTTTGTCCATATTTGACCCAAACCTGGGTTAAAAACAACCCAGCAATTTTTATACAAGAGCCGTGTGTCGTAAAGGTTTGAAATGGCATAAGGGAGAATAATAAATGACAGAATGTTAATTTCTGGGTTTTCTTTGTGCCGCCATGTACTCTACATTGCTAAATTCCCCACTGACTGAAAGACTTGAAATATACAAGCCCGAGCTGCCAGGGTTCTCTCAACAACCTCTCATTCGTGTACAGAAGAAAAGTCCAGTGGAGGGAAAATTACAATTCCTGCTCCTCCTCTGGTACAGTAGGCTGATCTCAGGTCAGTGCATAGCGCCGTGCCTGATTCAGTGGAGGTGGGCGTTCGCTCCGCTTTCAAAATCACGGCAATGAACAACAATGAATGCAGTCTCTTGCGTCGCCGAACACCTTTACGGAATGACGCGCGCACGATGACCTTTGCCCGTCGACACAAGAAGACTCCGCAGATGCCAGACGCGGAGCGAGCGTCACCTGCGCGGCGTCAGATGCGTAAAAGCGCACAATGACAACAACCTGCGCGCTCTGCGGTTCCGCCGCGCTTAATCTGAATCTGGAAATGTGAAAGGCTCTGGATTAGGAGGTTGTCGGGTGATGCGAATCGCCCTCCTTTGTTCGTTTAGATGAGGGTCTGACGTGTTCCCAGGGGAATTTCAGTCGCGGTTCAAACCTTGAGACGCTGGCGAGTCGGTCACACACACATAACACACACACACACACACTCAATGCTGCTATGACTTCCTGCATGCGTCCGTACTGTGATCTGTTTGCTCTTCGCATGCTGCTGCTCATCTCGCTGCTGATATCGCTCGTGAGGTCCGGTTCGGGTGAGTTTGCCTGTCGAGTCGATCGTAACCCTTTCACTGGATGTTCAGTGTGTTTCATTGTCTTTAACCTGTCATGGTGTATCAGATGCATCTTGAGATCATGAGCTCAATGAATGGGAATGTCAGTGTTTACACATGGGGCAAGTTGTCACGCGGTTCTCAGCTCTGTGTATTGTAGTCTATAATATATTGTCTGTCTAATACATTTTAAATTGAGATTTAATGTGGAAAATATGTATTTCATATTTTAAACACACCAGCGAACAGTAATGTTCCCTAAAGTCCTGGCAAAGTTATGAACACACATTCTGCCAGTAACGTTAATACAACGTTCATTCAGAGCTCTCTAGTCTTTAATAGTAATGTTCTCAAAATGTAAGCACTAAAAATGATCTATACGTCGTTTATGGAATGTTTTGGTAACACTTAATTTTAAAGTGACGTAGTTACACGTTACATGTAATTATATAGTTGGCTAATAACAGTAAATTATGCATAATTACAAGCAACTAACCCTAATCATAACTCTATATGTAGTATTTAAGTAGTTAATAGTACTCAGTACTTATTTGACTAACTACGTCACCTTAAAATAAAGTGTAACCAATGTTTTTTTTTTTTTTAAATGTTTCAGTTTTTAAACACTTTTTAAATGTTACTACTTGTTTCAGAACGTTCATTCGAATGTAACGTTCCCATAATGTTTGCAGAATGTTCCGTAGCATTCACACAACCAATAAAAAACATGTTTAAACGTTCAGGGAACAATAACGCTCCCCTGAATGTTAATATCTTATCGTTAGAACATATTTGTGTCCCTGTAACATCTTGTCTGATACTGTATAGTGGCGCATCAGGAGCACTAAGAAAGGTTGTATGCACATCATGAATATATATTACCATTGCTGTGCTGTGATTGGTTAATGACACAATTTCTCTGCTCACAGTGCGCTGGAGTGTGTGTTTGACACAAAGGCCTGCTGAAGATCTGAACTCTTGCTCATTCATGTGTAAATGTCTCTGTGTTCAGCAGATAACCGTTGCCAGTCTGTCCTCGCCTCCACATGCGAAGACTGTCTGAGACGCGGCCCTGAATGCGCATGGTGCTCTCAGGAGGTAGTGTGTGTGTGTGTGTGTGTGTGAGGGCTGCTATTGTTGAATGACAGTGTGTGAAGCGCTTGTCTGTTAGTCTGTTAGCGATAAAACACTAGAGCCCTATTACCCAGAATGCTTCGAGAGCTTAGGTGATCCTGGGAACCCATAAAATAGAAATGCAGAAGTCGCTGATATGAGCATGAATGTATTTATATGCCAATGATTGCAGTTATGAGGTCGTTTGTGACGTCAGAAACACCAGCGATTTTACACCGTGTTTTTGAGACTGATTTTGGTTCACTACAGTTTAAGGAGAAAATACTCAGCAATGCTGTCGACTTGTGAATTTACACATGGTTTGTCTTAAAGCATATTAAAAACACCACATAAACAACATTAAAAGCTGGATTTTCACCACAGGGGGACTTTAAGATATGTTTAACTGTTAGTTTAACACAGTGCTGTTAATGTAAAGGCTATTGAAATAACATCTTCTGTAATTGAAATAAATCTGAAATATGATATTTTTAAAATATAGATATTAGAAGTTAGTAGTAAAATGACTAAAACCAAAAGCAAAACAAATTAAAGCTATAAAATTAAAACAAAAATGAAATGAAAATAAATAAAAATAAAGTCTTAAAAGTTTAAAGAAATATAAATTAAATGAAAGCTAAATAAATCTGACAAAATCTAATAAAACGGACAAAAGCACATAAATAAACAAATAAACAATTACTAAAATGTGAAGTAAAATACAAATGAAAAATGTAAAGCTATTTTAAAATATATAAATAATAATAATAATAATAAAATAAATACTATAATGGTTTATGAATACTACTAAAAGAACACTAATAGAATATATATATATATATATATATATATATATATATATATATGTATGTATGTGTGTGTGTGTGTGTGTGTGTGTACTGTATATTAGGGCTGTCAAATGATTAATTGTGATTAATCGCATCCAAAATAAAAGTTTGTGTTTGCATAATATATGTGGGTGCACTCTATATAATTATTTTGTATAGATAAATACACACACATACATTTTATTTATAAATAAAAATTAAAAATAAAAATAAAATTCTTTTTTAAAAAGAAAAATATTATTTATATAAAAAAATATAATATAAATTATATATAAATCTATATACAGTATATACATGAAAATATTTCTTAAATATATATAAGCATGTGTGTGTGTTTATATATATATAAAATAATTATACACAGTGCACCCACATATATTATGTAAACACAAACTTTTATTTTGGATGTGATTAATCGCAATTAATCGGTTGACAGCCCTATACATATAATAAACATTTAGCAATATTAACAAATGAATGAATAAAATAAATCAAATTATATGTATAATTTTGAAAAAATTGTAATAATAAAAATAATCAAATCTTTTAATTGCATATATCATAGAATATACTGTATAGATATACATTTGCACACACACATCTTTGTTAGATGCAATTAATCTCAATCAATTGATTTGAAGGCACTAATATAAATGTAAAAATGTATAATCAGAGGAAAACAAATTGAACTGAACCATTCAAAAAAATTCTTATAGTGTTTCAAGATTCTCACATCTTTTAATAAACAGAAAGATTCGAGAAGCGGTTGTGGTTTAGTTAGTCAGTTTATAGAGAGCTAACCGACATTTTATTGTCTTGGGACAAACACTTAATTGAAATCCTATCTTTGTAAAGAGAGTCATGCATATTGTGGTTCTGAAAATAAGTTTCATAAGCGGCTGCGGCGCTCGGCACCAGTCGGAGTAATCCCTGAGCCACGTCTCAACCGAGCTTTGAAAAGAGCTTTCAGTAACACAACGGCCGCCCTGTTTCCTGAAGCAGCCGACGTTTGCAGTGACCTTTTTGACGGCTTGTGTTCCCTCACAGAGGTTTCTGGACGGGGCACATGTCAGTCAGCGATGCGGATCTGTGTCCGACCTGCGAGTCAGGGGTTGTGAAGAGGAGTTTATCGAGAACCCGAGTGTGAAAGTGGAAGTGAACGCCACCATCAGCAGCTCACAGGTGTCACCGAGAGAGATCTCCGTCCACCTAAGACCAGGTGACCCAATAAACACTAAACTGATACACAAACGCCCTAGAAAACTGGAAAAACTGACATTGCGATATGAAAAAATACAGGGAGTTTCACCAGAAAGAATGAATCATTCTAAAAGGATTGCAATGATTGAAATATTTTATAAATTAAATTTCAAAAAAGAGCCGAAAAATGACTCTTTACTCTGAAAACCCCAAAATGAAAATGATGAACGGTCCCTTTAAGTGTTAAATCCTTTTAGGGCTGAAGAATGTTGGAAAATGTGGGTGATCATACTTTGGTTTAAATCTTTACAAGCATGAAATCGAAGCATAATGTCAACAAAAACTCTTTCCACTTGAGTTTTCATAGGCCACATTTACCACACTGACCAATTCTATAAATTATGACTATAAAGAATAAAAAAAAAAGACTATTATAATTATTTTTATATTTAAAGTACTGTAAAATATAAATATTGAGTTAATAAATAAATGTAAAAATTACAGTATTAATAATTTGATGTCTTCATTTTGAAACGGTATACGAATAAGCTGTTATTTTGACGAGCTGCCAGCAAATAAACGAATGCGCCGCTGGTTTCTGAGTGAAGGAACTGTGTTTTCATTTACACGCATGCAGCTCACAGTAAATGAACCAATCCGTTCAGAGAACTACACGTGTGTGTGTGTTAACCAATAGCACTTTTAAATCGCTGCCGCACTAAGCCATATCGATTTTAATTAAATATCATGTAGCCCTATATAACAACAGGCTAACATAAATGCAGAAACACTCAAAGCTTCCTCATGAAATGTAGAATTGTGATGATGATGATGTCATTTCCTGTCTTAGGCAGCGAGGCGAGCTTTGTGATTGAGGTGCATCAGTTGGAACGGTACCCTGTGGATCTGTACTATCTAGTGGACGTCTCGGCGTCCATGCAGGACAACCTGGACCGCTTGAAGACTGTGGGTCTGGCTCTGTCCCACCAGATGAAGGAACACTCCAGCGACTTCCGGGTGGGCTTCGGGTCTTTCGTGGATAAACCGGTGTCTCCGTACATCGACGTGCACCCCTCCAAACTCCTGAACCCTTGCAGGTGAACCAGCCACCAGTCACTAATGAGAGCTCTAGTCTCATGATAATTCAAAAAATATTATTATTATTTTTTTAAATACTCTTAAAAATATTTTTTTTATATGTAATTAATGATTAGATTTATTTAAACATATTTTAAAACATTTTAATTCATGAAAAAAAATATTAAAAATAATTTGGCCATTTCTACTAGTCAGCAAGTCAGATCTGAAATATTTCTGCTTTATACACTCACTGTAGGTCAGTTCTACTCACGTGTGTGTCTATGTTTTATTTTTGACAAGGATTTTAGGATAAACACGTGAGTTGAGTCCTTGAGATCTTTTGTAAATATTCTTGCTCCATATCGCTCGCAGTTTAGCAGTTTTTTTTAATAAAAAAGATTATTTTGTACAAATTGTACATCTTTTGAAACCTTTTTGTTGCCTTTTTATGAAGGACCTTTTCTTGACCTTGATAATGACGAACAGAGTGATCTGATTTCCTTTTTCAATTGAGTTCCAGTTGAGTTTTTACCTTTTTTGTTTGAGTATTTACTTTAGAAAAGAAATAAAAACAGACAAAGTTCAACTGTTGAAAAATCTTTGAGCTCAGTGTTATTTTAGTATTAGTATTATAGTATTTAATTGCTTTTATATTTATAATTTAATATTGTAGTCCTTTTGTCATTTTTATTTGGTTTTGTTTTTTAAATATTTCTATTTAGCTTTAATTTCTATTTATTTTAGTTGTTTGTTTTAGTACTTATTTAATTGTTGTTTTTTTGTAATTTTATGTGCTTTATTTTTCTATATAGCTTTAATTTTATTTATTTTAGTACTTATATATGGTTTGTTTTTTATGTAATTTTATGTGCCTTATTTTTCTATATAGATTTAATTTTATTTATTTTAGTACTTATATATTGTTTGTTTTTATGTCATTTTATGTGCCTTATTTTTTCTTAGCTTTAATTTTATTTTAGTACTTATTTATTTGTTTTTTTGTATTTTTATGTGCTTTATTTTTCTATATAGCTTTAATTTCTTTTTATTTTAGTACTTATTTATTTGTTGCATTTTGTGTAATTTTATGTGCCTTAATTTTAACTTATTTCATTTTAGTTAGTTCACAAGGCAAAATTTCACATTTATTTGTAAGTTTAAGTTTTTCCGTCTAATATTTATATTTTATCATATTTCAGCTTAATTTCAACGGCTGACTTTTTTTTTAGTTATCAATTACCACAGTGATTGAGCTGTAACACTAGAGGAGATGCACGTCAGGGTTCTTTTGCTGAGTAAAATCAGGAGATGAAAGTCTCAGTTTCAACTCTGAGATATAAATGAGATCTGATCTGTGATCTGTCTTTCCTATGGGAAGCACCAGAGGTCTCTCAGCTGATCCCAGGAGTCTAAATCCAGCCTGGGTGTCCCGGACTGCATTCCGTAGTGATCTCATTCTGACTAGTGTGGGAATATGGTGTGGATGACATGTGATCTCTCTCTCTCTGGTCGTAGTGATTATGAGGTCCACTGCAGGCCCGCTCACGGATTCATCCACGTCCTCCCGGTCACGGAGAACATGACGGAGTTCACACGGGTCATTCAGGAGCAGAGGATCTCTGGGAACATGGACACACCCGAGGGCGGCTTCGATGCCATGCTGCAGGCCACAGTTTGCCAGGTAAACACACCTGAGGGTGACACACCATGTACTATGTACTCAAACTGTGTTGTGTGTGTGAATTTTATTCGTTTTTCGTCATTAAACATCAGCGTCTAATAGCCCCTCCCCCTCCACAATGGTCCGCCTGGAAACAAAGATGCCAAACCCCCTCATGGAAGAAGAAAGCCGTCGTGTTTACCACTGTGACAATGACTTTAAGGGTCGCGAGCCATTGCCAGTTGCATGAGGGTTTGCGGCATTTTGCCAAAATGGGTGTTTTCTGTGGTTGCTAGGGTGTTCTGGATGGTTGCTAAGTGGTTCCTTGCTCAAGTCAAAAGTCCACCCTCAAATCTATTGTGACCATGTGTGCTGCACAAGTCCTGAAACGTGAGGCTAAAGCATTTGGATCGCCCCCTGCTGGTTGGCTGCAGTACAGGTCATAAACCCCGCCCTCTCCATGTGCTCGAATGGGACGTGAGCCAAACTAAAAAATCCAATTATATTTCAATTTTTTTGTCATTTTATGTTCAAGTGCCCGTTTTCCCAATACGTTTGGTTTTAGTTCAGTTAATTTGTTGCTATAGAAAGGGGATTTAACGTCATGATTGACAGCTGTGCTAGCAAATGAGTCTGCTGGAGTGGGAGTGTGGGCGGGACCTTGAGACCGTGGCTCCGCCTCCTCATGATCACGACTGACGACGTAATCGGCAACGTCAGTTTCTAGGATATTTTGCCTGTATTTTTCTACAGTGGAAGGAAGTGGATACACACTGTCCATCTTTTTTACAGTCCATGATTGTGACTGATATTATGAATTTATTTTATTTTTAGTGTTTATTTTTATAAATGGTGCTTGGTGCTTCCTTATACTGGCTCAAGTCAAAAGAGCCCACCTTCAAATCTATTATGAATAGTAGCATGTATGTATTTATTTTTGCATTTGTGTATGCATCTATTTCTTTATTTATCATTTTGTCCTTATTTATTATTCCTTATTTATTACAAAGAATTTTTTTTTCTTTTTTTAAAAAGATTAAGATTTTCGTTATTTATTTATTTAGTCATTTTTTATATTTGAAGTATTTTTTTATAATATATTCGCATTTGTTGTTGTTGTTGTTGTTGTTAATGGTATTTATTTATTTATATGTTTTTATATTTTATTATATTTTTTTAATAATGCATCTGTAATTCTTTTAAGTTTTAATGTGGAGGGTTGTCCATCCTCAAGTCTATTATATTACATTACATATTTATGTATTTTTACTATTAATTTATTTTATTTGAGTATTTATTTATTATTATTAGCATGTTTTATTATCCTCCAATCCTCCACTCTTTCCTCAAGACATGATTTGAGAAATGATTAACGTAGCGCAGGGCGATTTACATGTTTGACACAGTTTGTTCAAGTCATTGCATTCCTTAGCAGAGAGAGACACCGCTAATGATTGAACCAGTGCATATACGATCTTTTTTGAAAGCCTTAAAAACGCTCATGACTGTTCCCGTGTCATCAGAACGTATTTCCTCCTGCGGTTGCTCCGGAGACTGCATGTCTCAGGTCATTACGCCTCTCTTTGGGAACGGGAACAATGCCTGAAGAGCCGAAGAGCTGAATCAGCCACGTCTCTATCTCATCATGGGCTGTTTGCAGAGGATGATGTCATCACCGAGTCATGGGAGGCGGGTTCCTCTTCATCGGCTGTTTGTAGTGAGGCAGTGGACGATCAACAAAGCCTCCAACTGTTGGGGTCTTTCCCGTGAGTTACAGTGCGATCTGATAAACGAGCGCTCGAGCAGTGGGCTTGAAAGGCTTTGCACTGGAAAATGTCCTTGAATGGGTTTCAGTCTTCATGATGTCCCATACCTATGCCTCCCTAAAGTCAGAAACTGAAAGCAGCACGCATGAAAGAGATGTTTTCTTTGGCACAGAGAGCGCTAACCTTGAAACCTTGGGTCTCAGGTGAATTATTCAGAGCGTTGTTTTGCATGAGTTACACAGACTTCTTACTGTTCAGTAACTGAGGGTTGTAACTTTAAAAAGTAGTTCCTGTTGGCATCTCAGCATGTGTGTATTTTAGCCAAACATTACTCATCCTGGCAGCTTAACACTCAACTGGTGCAGTTTGTCTATTTGTAGCTCAAGTCAAACAAGTTCACCAGAGAATATCACAAGAGTGATATTATAGTTTATGTATTTATTTTTTGTTTGGTTTTGTCCTTATTTTTTAGTATTAATTCATTCTTTAATTAATATTGGTTTGTTTGTGTTATTAGTGTTCTATTATTATTATCTTTACTGAATATTTATTTTTAGTATTTATTTTTATTTGTATTAATTCGATTTTTAATATTTATTTATTTTAATTTTTTATTTTGTTTATTTATACATATTTATTTATTTATTTTGTAGTACTCTTTATATATATATAGTTTATTTGTTTTATATTTATTTTATTTTTTAGCCTATTTTATTGTTCTATAATTATTATCTACTATTTATTTATTTGTATTATTTTTGTATTATTTAATTGTATTTGTTTGATTTTGTTTGTATTTATTTATTTATTTGAGTGTTTTTAGTATTTTTAATTTACATTGTTATTTTAATTTATTCTATTTTTTGTAATATTGATATTTTGTAATATTGTTTTTTATAATTTATTTATTTTAATTGTTTGTTTTGTTTATTTTGATGTATTTATTTTATTTGTTTATTTATTTTGTACCACTCTTTATAAATATATATACAGTATATATTGGTTATTTGTTTTATTTTTATTTTATTTATTTAACCTATTTTATTGTTCTATTATTATTATTTATTTATTGCATGTTTTATCATCTACTATTTGTTTATTTGTATTATTTATCTATTATTTAATTTTATTTGTTTGATTTTGTTTGTATTTATTTATTTATTTTAGTGTTTTTAGTATTTTTAATTTACATTTTTATTTTAATTTATTCTATTTTTTGTAATATTGATTTTTAAAATTTATTTATTTTGATTGTTTGTTTTGTTTATTTATACCCATTTATTTAATTAATTTATTTATTTTGTAGTACTCTCTCAAAATATATATTGTTTATTTGTTTGATTCTTATTTTATTGTTCTATTATTATTATTTATTTATTGCATGTTTTATCATCTATTTATTTATTTGTATTATTTATGTATTATTTAATTGTATTTGTTTGATTTATTTATTTGAGTGTTTTTAGTATTTTTTTAATTTACATTTTTATTTTCATTTATTCTAATTTTTTTGTATTTATTTGATTTGTTTTTAGTATTCATTTTTTATTTGTGTATTGTTGTTTTATTTCTTTTTATTGATGAGTCATCTGCCAAGCGAAATGATAAATCAGCAAAGTGACTCTTCTCCTCAGGACATGAGTTAAGGCTTGACTAATCGCAACATGACTCACCCTGGCAGTTTAACGCTCGGCCGATGCAGTTTGTCTTGTATTAGTAACACAGGGCAGATGATGCTATCTGATGTAATCCTCTGCTGAGTGTACTTTATACCAAACACACAATCCAGCAGATTTGTAAACCCTGATTCATTTCTGCAGGAAGACATTGGATGGCGACCTGAAGCGAAGCATCTGCTGTTGGTCATGACAGACCAGCCGTCTCATCTGGCTTTGGACAGTAAACTGGCCGGCATCGTGGTTCCTCATGATGGCCGCTGCCACCTAGAGGATAATATCTACTCTCAAACCACTAGCATGGTAAGAAAAACGACACGCACAAAACACCAGATGCAAAGTTAGTGCTCATACAGGTTCAGTTCTGGCCTGTGACGTGTCCAAAACCAGTTCCATCTTGGGATTTCCACCGAAATTTATTTTTTTTAAATGGCATCTATCCATATAAGAGGTAAATACTGCTAAAACAAATGCATTTCACAATATTATAGTTTTTACTGTCAAATAAATGTAGACTTTGTGAGCAGAAGAGCAGAAGAGACTTGCATTACCACAGTACCGTCCAAAAAAACGTTTATATGTACCGTGGTATGATATTATAAAGAAACAATATTTTTTATTTTATTTTTTTTTTGGCCTGTGTACATTTGCATGTTTTTCATGATGGAAAATGTCACCACTGATGTACTTTCTGAAATTGCACTCTCTATCAGCACCAGAATCTGTGGTTTCTCAACAAGCAATGGCAGATTTGTGTTCGCTGTTTTTAGGAGCACCCAACAATCGGTCAACTGGCAGAGAAACTCCTAGAGAACAACGTTTACTCCATCTTTGCGGTGGACCAGGTGCAATATCAGTGGTATGAGGTAATTTCTCTCCCACACCATGAGTTTGGGTGTTGCCTTTTACAGAAAGCAATCTATTTTGAAATAGTGATTTCGAGAACGCAGTCACTGATTTATAGGAACACACACAGTGACTTTTTGTCCAATCAGTGATTTAACAAATCTATTTAACAGTGGTTTAACAAATCAGTGACTCTTTTCAAGAAGTGTTCAATTTCAACTCATTTGATTGGCCATCGCGTTCAAGAAATCAACCAGGGATGAACCGATATGAACATTTTGGCCAATACCGATAACAAATAATTCTTTATATTTGAAATTTTTATACATTTTTTGAGAGCCTCGTTGATTAAATGATTAAAAGCCATTTTAGCTACCTTAGTGAAAAAAAGTGTGCTAAGTATACTGGCAGCCAGACTTAATTGTCAGTACACTTCAAGTGTGTTAATGATTCGTTAACTTGAGGTGTGCTATTTTGGAGTCTTTTTTGTATTTTAGTTATAATAAAATTATACTGAAGTATAACTTTAAGTGTATTTAGTGTACTAAATTGAGACAATTTCAAGTATATTTAGTACACTTTAAGTTTAAAAGTACACTAAATATACTTAAAGTTATAGGGGAGAGCGGGGCACAGCGTGGCGCTTTTTGAGTATTTATTCTTTCCCACATGAATTTCCCACATGTCTAGCTAGTACAATTATGTTGTTTTGTTTTATTAATACAGTGTATACTTTTTTCTTGATTTACCCTGAAAGAATGGAAGTGAAATGTGACAACATGCCCCATAGGTGAGGTACATTGTAACATGTGAGGGGCATATTGTAACATTACCATATGACAGCATATGTATAATTATTTTGTATATATATAAATACACACACATGCATGTATATATATTTAAGACAAAAATATTATTTATATATAATATAAATTATATATAAATCTATATACAGTATATACTGTACATTTAAAATATTTCTTAAATATATACTATACAAGCATGTGTGTGTATTTATATATCCACAGTGCACCCGCATATATTATGTAAACACAAACTTTTATTTTGGATGCGATTAATCGTGATTAATCGTTTGACAGCCCTAATATATATATATATATATATGAAGAGTTCAGATGCAAAAGCCTCTAAGTGCCATTTGAAATTTTCTTCTAAAATGATCATTTTTATCAAGCTTGTATATTTAAGTTCAGTAATTTCACTTAAATGGCAATGAAGATTACCTATTAATTGTAATTTAAGTGAAATTACTGAACTTAAATATACAAGCTTGATAAAAATGGTCATTTTAGAAGAAAATTTCAAATGGCATTTAGAGGCTTTTGCATCTGAACTCTTCATATATATATATATATATATAAACATGCATTCAAAGGCCCTCGTTCCAATTTGAAAGGTTTCTATTCACATCCTCTGTACTTCTGACAACCCTACCGAGGAATTAGTCTGCATTATTTTTCTATAACTTAATCTTTTTCTTCTGAACAGGATCTACTGGACCTGATTCCTGGAAGTTATGTGGGCCGAATGTTTCCCAAAGCATCTAATCTTAAAGACTTAGTAGTTCATGCCTACAAGGTAAACAACATTACTTTCTCTTTCACTTGATAACCACTTTATTCTCTCCATCCACTCAAGGACAATTAGATGATAAGTGCAAAAGTTCCCGAACATTTGGAAACACTCACAGTAGGGCTTTCAGTTCGTACCAGCACAGTTTAAGTTCAGCAGGAAAAACACCGGCCAGAATCTGTTCCGGCATGCTTTTAAAGACTTTGAATGCACAACAATGCATTGTCCTCCAACAAATCCACTGATCCCAGTGAACAGAAGCCTGCTTTATAAACGCTTTCTGGTCACTGGGCCAAAAATGCAGCGAGCTCCAATCAGAGAGCAGTTCAACGAGGCTATTTTTAGCCTGTCCTTTTCCCCGTCAACCTGCATATACAAGACCGATCATACACTAAAAAAGCTAGTGTATAAAAAAGCTTCTCTATTGGCAGACTTTAAGTATATCAATTTAGTATAGCAAGTGTATTTGTAGTATACTTACTATAAAATAAATGTATTTCAAATACATTTTAGTATATTTAATTTTCACTCGGGATCTATGGCGTCACCGTCACTGTGAATCCCCCTTTAAAACGTGTCTTTCTGATCTCCGTCTGTTTGTCCTGCAGAAGCTGCTGTCCGATGTGGAAGTGCAGATCGGGGTGGAGGACGGCCAAGCTCACCGTTTCTGGGTGAACGTCACGGCCTTTTGCCCCGACGGATCCTCTGTTTCTGGAAACACGAAATGTTCCAGCGTTCAGCCTAAACAAACAGTACGAATGCCTTTCATGTAGATACCTCTGTTTTCAGCACAGGGAACAGAGATGCTGCGTTTGATATCAGAAATTCTCCAATTCAGCCAAAAATATTATTTGCTCACCCTAGTTTTGCACAAAACCATGATTTTTTTTTTAAATTTAAATTTAGAAAAAATATATTCATGCAAAATCATAAAAGTAGTTTAAACTTTTTGTAGCTCTCAAACCGTATTCACTTACAGCCCTTAATCCTGTGTGGACAAATGTGGGCACAGAGGACTCAGGTGTGATCCTAATTTTTAATTATTATAAATGTTATATCACTGTCTTCGATAAAGTTTTGTCTATCCATTTATGGTGATTTTTTTTATTTTGGGAGTATTTTTGAATTTACGTTCTTCAAAAAGCACCATATTTTCTATGTAAATTATGCTTATTTTTATGTTTTTTTTTTAACTACATTAAAATATCATTCCAATAAGTTCTTAGAGCTGAACCCTAAAGATGAAGTGACTTTGCCGTCACCTGGTGTCTTATTTTGGCTTATGCTCTAAATTACAGTTTTTCCCATTCACTTCTATGGGTGCCCATTTTTGACCCAAATACAAGATTAAGGAGGGGTTTTTTTCACCCTCTTAACATTGTAGAATTGAGTCCAAAAAAAAAGTGTGTGTTCAGGAAGCAAACTTAGGAAAAGTAGCCAAGTCTTGTAGCGCTCAGATCAAGGGAAGTATTTTTTAAAAATAAATCAAAACTACTTTGCCCACATTTGTCCAGAATACGGTTTTAGGGTTAAAGAAAGTGAGCATGCATTACATTTTAAATTGTTACAAAAGATTCTATTTCAAATAAATGCTGTTCTTTGGAACTTTCCATTCATCAAAGAATCCTGAAAAACAAAACACACCCCAGTTTCCACAGCACAGCTGTTTTCCACATTGATAATAATCAGGAATATTTCATCATGTTAAAATGATTTATGAGGATCATGTGACACTGAAGACTGCAGTAATGATGCTGAAAATTCACATGCATAGATTACATTTTCACCAATAAGACAGTTATTTTAAACTTTAATAATATTTCACAATATTACTGTTTATATGTATGGTGTTCTTTGGAATAGCACACTCATCGGCTTAAGAAGTTTCAGGATGAGATATTTTATAAACAGAGCTGAGTTATTGTTATCTGTGCGTCAGTAGTTTTGTCTGTTTTCGTCCAGGTTTTCTTCAAGGTGACGGTGGGGATGAGCTCCTGCCCGGCGTCCGGTGGAGATCACGAGGTTCTGATGTCCGTGAGGCCCGTGGGATTCAACGAGTCCGTGACCGTACGGGTCCGTCAGCTCTGTGGGTGTGGCTGCACTGAGAGGAACCGTTGTCATGACGACCCGAATCCCTCGCCCTGTCCCGCGGAGGCCGACGGGTGTAGAGAGGACAGGACCAAACCCGTCTGCAGCGGGAGAGGGACTTGTAGATGTGGGAGGTGTGTGTGCGATTCTAGCAGATTCGGAAACATCTACGGAAAGTTCTGTGAGATGGACGACTTCTCGTGTCCGTACGAGAGAGGCCTGGTGTGTGGAGGTGAGCGCTGACATAGACGGTATGTCAAATATATAGATCGATACCAAAATTTGGAATATGAAAATTATGCTCTTAACTACGGGTGATCAGAATCTTATATGATGTTATATTGGATTATGTTATATTATATTGATTTACACACACGCACACACACATCTATATACAATGATAATAAATCAGCATATTAGAATGATTTCTGACTCGAGTAATGATGTTTAAAAAATAAATAAATTATATTTTAAAGTATATTCAAATAGAAAAATAACATGTTTTGCAGGTTAGTGGAGGTGATGTATCATTTTTTTAAATAAAAAGTCTCCATAACACATCTTTTTATATTTTATTTTATTATATTATAACTGTTATAATATATACAGTATATATATATATATATATATAATATATATATAGCAATTATAATATAATATAAAACTGTTTTATTTTATCCAAAAATGTTAATTACCAAATAATTAATTAACATATATATTTTATATATATATATATATATATATATATATATATTTAAAAAAATAAATTCCAAACATTTGTCTTGGAGGTGAGTGGAGATGAGTATAATTTTTTACTTCTTTATAAAAAATTATATATATTCTAAAATATTTTAATTTAAATATGATTAAAAAAGTTGTACAACTTTACATATATATTTTTTATATTATATAACTATTGTTTTATGTTTTATATATATATTTATTTATTTATTTATTTTTACAAAATATATAAAATATTAATTTGGTTATTAATTTTTTTGAATAAAATTTCTCAAAAAATTTGAATCTTTTTTTTATTTTATATATATATATATATATATATATACAATATTGTAAAATCTAATTTTGAGGTTTAATAAAAGGTGAATATATTAAACAGTCAATTGGTAATGCCATAATTTTTGGATAAAACCTTACAAATGGAAAGGTACTCATCGTTATCTAATTTTATTTAATAAATAAATTTTATTTTAAATAACGAGAGTAAAATCTTTCGGATGGACACATTTCTACTGGGATGTATTGTGATTCAAATGCATGTTTTTATGCTTCTCTGTTCAGGGCACGGACGGTGTGTTTCGGGTGCGTGTGTGTGTCTCTCGGGCTGGACGGGTGAGACCTGCGCCTGTCCCGTCTCCACAGAGGCCTGCGTGTCAGACGACGGCTTGATTTGCGGCGACCGGGGAAAGTGTGTGTGTGGCAAGTGTGTATGTGACGACTCGCGGCGATCTGGAACGTTCTGTGAGAAGTGTCCCATCTGCTACAGCTCCTGTCAATCTCACTGGTAACCACTGCTACTCTTTTGTTGAAGAACACCGTCACTGATTGGTTAAAACACCTGTCAATCACATAATTAATCACTCGCTAAAGATCTATGGCAGTATTTACCCGTTTTAAAGGGTCTTTGCATTCTCTCCACTTTCATTGGTGGGCATGTAAAAGCAGGAATGTATGCAAATGTATAGACGTTTTGTCTTCCGCTGCATGCAAAAGCTTTAAAGCAAAAAGTGGCTTAACCAATAGTAATTGTCACATATTTAACTACACTTGAATTTTAATTTGCTTTGCGACCATTAAAAAAAGTGTGTTCTGTATAGTATGAGTGTGTGTAGTATGAGATTAAATTCAGATATTACATCCGCCATGTTGTCATCATTATCATGTGATCTACTAGTTTCAGTTGCGTCGCTTCACTGTCATTCATAACTCCTCTCCTGTGGCCTCATGGGATAGTAAAATGTTCATCGTATGCACACTTCAGAATCCCACTGGACGAAGAAGGTCGTCTTTCGTCTACTGTTTTTCGAAATACTATGTATTCGGACAAACTATCCTTTTGGCGTACTGTTTTTCGCATACTATACTGTAGAAAAGTACTCGATTTTGGATGCGGCGAAACTTTAAATCATGCTATACTAAGTATGCAAAATTATAGCTGAACTGAACTTGTGGAACATATTACTTTATTGTTGAATGCTGCATTCTGTTGTTTCACATACAACTCTTAGTATAAATAGTATACCGTATATGTAGTATGCAGTACATTTCTGAACATAGCTAGATAGTTGATCATGCTGATGCTGATCATAGTTGATCAACTTTAAGTATGCAAAATAATAGGCTATTCAAAATGGAATACAAGCATATTGCATATGCACACTATATACTAGTTTACTAGTGAAACACTCTGCCGTATTCAACAATATAGAAGTATGCTACACAACCTCTTCACATTGCATGTTGCATACTTAAAGGAGTAGTTCACTTTTAAAAAACATTTGCTGATAATTTACTCACCCCCATGTCATCCAAGATGTCCATGTCTTTCTTTCTTCAGTCGAAAAGAAATTAAGGTTTTTGATGAAAACATTCCAGGATTTTCTCCATATAATGGACTTCAATGGGGACCAAACGGTTCAAGGTCCAAAAGACAGTTTCAGTGCAAACTACAAACTGTTCAACGATTCCAGACGATGAATAAGGGTCTTATCAAGCGAAATGATCGCACATTTAATAAATAAAAAACAAAGTTTAAGTTTTATAAGCTCAAATGCTCGCCTAGCTCTGTTCTGTGATGAGCATTCATGACTCTCCTGTTCGACAAATCTTTTTTCGAGTCATTTGGTTCATTCAACGAACGAAATGAACGAGTTGACTGGAAAAGATTCGCTCATTTTGATGAACGAGTTCGAACAGGAGAGTCACGAACGCGCATCACAGAACAGAGCAAGGCGAGCATTTGAGCTTATAAAACTTAAACTTTGTTATTTATTTATTAAATGAGCGATCGTTTCGCTTGATAAGACCCTTATTCATCGTCTGGAATCGTTGAACAGTTTGTAGTTTGCACTGAAACTGTCTTTTGGACCGTGAACCGTTTGGTTCCCATTGAAGTCCATTATATGGAGAAAAATCCTGGAGTGTTTTCATAAAAAACCTTAATTTCTTTTCGACTGAAGAAAGAAAGACACGGACATCTTGGATGACATGGGGGTGAGTAAATTATCAGCAAAAGTTTTTTTTAAAAGTGAACTACTCCTTTTAAAACTTTAGCATGACGACCTATTTAATTGGCTATATTAGGAATGGAAGACGAGTGCACTGCATATAGTTAGTAGTATTTTTTTAAAACCGCATGTTAAATGTCTCAACTCTTTATACTGCAATCAGATCAAACGGATAATCAAATAATCAAACGGAAGGTCAAATCGAGCGCATTGCATTGTGGGATGCAGCATGCTCAGGTTGTAAAATGCACATTGGCAAATGTATTATAAATAAGATGATATGAAGAGTTCAGATGCAAAAACCTCTAAATGCCATTTGAAATTTTCCTTTAAAATGACCATTTTTATCAAGCTTGTATATTTAAGTTCAGTAATTTCACTTAAATGACAATTTATAGGTGATCTTCATTGCCATTTAAGTGAAATTACTGAACTTAAATATACAAGATTGATAAAAATTATCATTTTAGAAGAAAATTTCAAATGGCACTTGGAGGCTTTTGCATCTGATCTCTTCATATGTTATTCTTAAGATTTAAGAAACGTACGTATCAACAGTACAGCCTTTCTCTTTCACAGCCAATAGAAAAAAGCAAACAGTCTATAGTGACGTAATGAACACATGCAGCCCGTCATGATGAATCTGCTCTCTCTCTCTCTCTCTCTTTCAGGAGCTGTGTGAACTGTCACCTGTCTAACGGACTTGGATCGGACGGTTTCCAGCTTTGTAATCACAGCTGCGCTCCATCGGTCGACTATGTGGACGACATCACAGGTAGATCCAAACAAGTGAAACATCACAAATCACTGCGCAGTTGAAGCTCAAGAAACACTGAAGAGTTTTGACGTGAACTTTAGGTTATAAATGAGCTGTTGTGTGTGTCTGAATGAACGGTGTTGTTATCCAGAGCTGGTGCGAGGGAAATACTGCCTGTATCCCAGCAGTGATAAGTGTCAGTACCGCTTTCTCATGGACTTGGCATCAGATCGACCTCAGCTGCACATTAGTCGACATCCTGGTGAGGAAATGAATTCTTCTCTTCATCTTCTCTTCCTCCTCCTCTCTTCGACAATCCTGAAAAATGAGAAATTATGTTTTGCTTACAGAATGTAAAGCCTGTTTTAGTAACATTTGTGACACATTTTCAGCACATTTCCCCCACGAATTCTCACTACAGATGTTTTAGTTTTGAGGATTTTTTGTACTTACCATATATATATATATATATATACACTCACTTAAAGGATTATTAGGAACACCAGACTAATACTGTGTTTGACCCCCTTTCGCCTTAATTCTCTGTGGCATTGATTCAACAAGGTGCTGAAAGCATTCTTTAAAAATGTTGGCCCATATTGATAGGATCGCATCTTGCAGTTGATGGAGATTTGTGGGATGAAGCTCCCGTTCCCCCACATCCCAAAGATGCTCTATTGGGTTGAGATCTGGTGACTGTGGCGGCCATTTTAGTACAGTCAACTCATTGTCATGTTCAAGAAACCAATTTGAAATGACTCCAGCTTTGTGACATGGTGCATTATCCTGCTGGACGTAGCCATCAGAGGATGGGGACATGGTGGTCATGGTGGTCAGAAACAATGCTCAGGTAGGCCGTGGCGTTTTAACGATGCCCAATTGGCACTAAGGGGTCTAAAGTGTGCCAAGAAAACATCCCCCACACCATTACACCACCACCACCAGCCTGCACAGTGGGAACAAGGCATGATGGACCCATGTTCTCATTCTGTTTACGCCAAATTCTGACTAATGTCTCAACAGAAATCGAGACTCATCAGACCAGGCAACATTTTTCCAGTCTTCAACTGTCCAATTTTGGTGAGCTCTTGCTAATAGTCGCCTCTTTTTCCTATTTGTAGTGGAGATGAGTGGTACCCGGTGGGGTCTTCTGCTTTTGTAGCCCATCCGCCTCAAGGTTGTGCGTGTTTTGCTGAATACCTCGGTTGTAACGAGTGGTTATTTCAGTCAAAGTTGCTCTTCTATCAGCTTGAATCAGTCGGCCCATTCTCCTCTGACCTCTAGCATCAACAAGGCCCACAGGACTGCCACATACTGGATGTTTCCCCCTTCTCACACCATTTTTTGTAAACCCTAGAAATGGTTGTGCGTGAAAATCCCAGTAACTGAGCAGTTCGTGAAACACTCTATTGTCTACTCGCTCAAAATGGCTCAAATCACCTTTCTTTCCCATTCTTACACTCAGTTTGGAGTTCAGGAGATTGTCTTGACCAGGACCACACCCCTAAATGCGTTGAAGCAACTGTCATGTGATTGGTTGATTAGATAATTGCATTAATGAGAATTTGAACAGGCGTTCCTAAAAATCATTTAGGTGAGTGTATTGTTTTGTAATTCTTATTACAGTATTGTTGTGAATTGTACGTTTTTTATTTTATTCCAATCCATTCCTACGGAGGCGTATTGCATTCACTTGAAGAAAAAAAATCTACTCTGTTTTTCTGAATTAACTAGTTAATTTTTCATTAGAAAAAAAAATTTGCTCTGTTTTTCTGAATTAATGAGTTAATTTTTCATTAGAAAAAAAAGTTTTTGCTCTGTTTTTCTGAATTAATGAGTTAATTTTTCATGAGAAAAAAATTTGCTCTGTTTTTCTGAATTAATGAGTTAGTTTTTTCTTGAGAAAAAAGTTTTTGCTCTGTTTTTCTGAATTAATGAGTTAATTTTTCATGAGAAAAAAAATTTGCTCTGTTTTTCTGAATTAATGAGTTAATTTTTCATGAGAAAAACATTTTTGCTCTGTTTTTCTGAATTAATGAGTTAATTTTTCATTAGAAAAAAAAGTTTTTGCTCTGTTTTTCTGAATTAACGAGTTAATTTTTCATGAGAAAAAAAAATGTGCTCTGTTTTTCTGAATTAATGAGTTAGTTTTTCTTGAGAAAAAAAAGTTTTTGCTCTGTTTTTCTGAATTAACGAGTTAATTTTTCATGAGAAAAAAATTTTTGCTCTGTTTTTCTGAATTAATGAGTTAATTTTTCATTAGAAAAAAAAGTTTTTGCTCTGTTTTTCTGAATTAATGAGTTAATTTTTCATGAGAAAATTTATTTTTGCTGTTTTTCTGAATTAACTCATTAATTCAGAAAAACAGAGCAAAAAAAAAATTCCATTAAAAATTAACTCATTAATTCAGAAAAACAGAGCAACATTTTTTTTCTCATGAAAAATTAACTCGTTAATTCAGAAAAACAGAGCAAAAAAATGTTTTTCTCATGAAAAATTAACTCATTAATTCAGAAAAACAGAGCAAAAAAAATTCTCATGAAAAATTAACTCGTTAATTCAGAAAAACAGAGCGAAAAATTAACTCATTAATTCAGAAAAACAGAGCAAATTTTTTTTTCTCATGAAAAATTAACTCGTTAATTCAGAAAAACAGAGTAGATTTTTTTTCTTCAAGTGAATGCAATACGCCTCCGTACATTCCACCTCCTCTGTGCTATTGCTAGTTTCTCTTTCATCGCTCAGGAGACTTAAAGAGAGCTACTTTCTTTGAAGTCTAAGCTTTGTCTCAGATGTTCCTCCTTAAATTCCTTTGTCGAAATAACAATATGAGCATGAGTCAGATCATTCGATCATTGAACTGTTTGAGTTCATATCGAGAATTGGTTACAGACCTTGGGATCTTGGCGAATCGCAGAACTGTTCTTTGCTCTTTCTTTCAGGAGAAACAATTCTGATCTCATTTAGGAAAACGACTGAACGGAGGCATTTTCAAATCCGTGATTAAAAAATATTAATTGCAGTGTTGAAATTGTGTCAAGTGGATGAGATTCGGGGAAAGGGTTTGTTTAGGACAAAAGAATCCAGTAATTCATTCATAAACTAAACATCAGCCAGATGTTTCTGTTGTGTGCTGTTACGACATCAACAACAGCTGGAAAAGAAGCTCTCTCGGGCCTCACGCTGATCACTGAACCAGCTGGACCTGCAGGGCTTCACACTGCCTGAACACAGCCAATATATATAGATCCAATCCTCCGCTTCTCCGCGTGACCCCAGTTGAGAAATCCAATAGGCTTGGCTCGGATCCAGTCCGGCCCAAACACAAAGGAGATAAAGTAGCATATTGACATTTTTGTAGGTTTCCATGGAGACCTGGAAGCAGAGCTGAATGCAGGTCCACACACACACACACAATGGCTCATGCTGTTTCCAAGAAACAGTGAGGGGGTGTGTCCCAAACGCCATTGGAGTGAGTGACTTAATATAAGAGAGAATGTGCACTGTCAGGAGACCAAACCAACCCACTGGAGCGAAAAAACACTCTTTAATATCTCTATTGGTTTGCCTAGACAACATAATGCAGTTAAGCCTCTTATTTAGGGCTGTCAAAGTCGCTGAATTGCTCAATTTAAACTTTATACTTAAATATTACTGATATAATCTTTTTTAAAAGGCATCATTTCAGTCAGGTAAAAGCGTTTGGCTTGTCTCCTGAGGCCACCAGAGGGCGCATAACGTTTAAACTAATGTTTATAAATCAAATATAACTTAGTAAATTGCATAAACAATTATGAACAAGACTGCATCAAAGAGCTGTCGCGGATCACACGGAGTAGGACTGTAAAAGTTAAAAAAAAAATAAATAAAATGTATTACTTTTTAAGAGATACAACCATTTAAATTCAATTTTTACATCTTTTGGGGTCAGTCAGTGTGACATAGAAGTGAACTGTGACTTTACACATAAAATTATGCTGAATTTGATCTCAAATGACTTCTGTAAAATACATTTAGCCTCTTTCCCGTATCTCACACACACTTTTAGGACAAAATTGTACCTGTAAATTTGAATATGCACACTTTCACACCAAATGTGATTACTGATAATCATAAGTATAAAGATAAATGGTAACACTTTACAATAAGGTTCATTAGTTAACATTAGTAAATGCATGAACTAACGATGAGCAATACATTAGTTGCAGTGTTTATTAATCTTTGTTAATGTTAGTTAATGTTCATGTTAGTTCACAGTCCATTAACTAATGTTAACTAATACAACCTTTGATTTTAATAACGTATTAGTAAATGTTGGAATTAATATTAACTAAGATTAATAAATGCTGAAGAAGTATTGTTCACATATTGTACATGTTAACTAATGTAGTTAACTAATGAACCTTATTGTAAAGTGTTACCAGATAAATAATCATAACATAACATAGTTCTATAAGATCAAATAATCGTTGAATAGGTAATCATTTTGAGAACGACTTTTTCCCGCTGACGAACGATAGAAAAACCATCGACAGCCAATCAGAATCCATCCAGCTTTAACGAGATCTAAAAAACCGCAGCACACTTACAATAAACAACGTATTTATATTTCCGCAGTTCTCTCTCAAACAGTTCTTAGATTTGCCAAAATGCCAGATTTCTTAACCCCTTAACTGTCGGGACCGGGACGCCTAACTTTATTTCACTATATTTCTATTAATTCCTAATCTAATTATGACAAATTATATATTGTTGGAAAGGTCTAAGACTTCTAAATATATTTTCTACCCCTGTTTTGTGTTAAATTATGTAGGAAGAGTAATTGATGAATTTATGACAAGAGTGCACCTCAAAAAATCTGCATCATAAGAGGAATTTGCACCTCAAAAAATCTGCATCATAAGAGGAATTTTGACCTTTGTCACAAAAAGTCGATGAACCCACTTTTAATCATTGAAACTTCTGGGTTTTATGCTAAAAGTTCATAATAAACATATAATCTAGTATTTTTCAATAAAAAATAAAAAATTATAGTACAATATTATCCTCTAAAAATGATAATATTTAAATGTATTATCCTCTAAAATATAATATTATTTTTTATCGCCTTTTTTATTATAACAGTTATCATAAATTAGGTATCATTTGAAAGCTTATAAACTCAGAATTCATCGTGTGAAAACTGTTTTATAATTGAACGTTGCGTTACCATAGAAACGGTACTTATTTTATCAGGCTCCTCCCGTTTTGGGCATCGTTATATTTCATCATTTATGATCAAAACCTTTTCTAATCTTGACAAAACTGATATTGTCAGAAAGGTCTGAGTCTCAAGGTTCCAAACTTTGTGACAGAATTGATATTTGGAAAGAAATGTATTAATTTGTTAAGGCAGAATGTATACAACTAAATTCAATGGAATTCAATGGCACCCGGTGGCTATTTTTGGTACTACGCCTAAACAAAATCTCATGGGAACTTCAAATTTTTGTGCTATCAACTTCAAATTTGCAACATAACTTGATAAGATGTATGGCTATAAATATATAGTACAGTATATTTAATTTACTGTAAATTTAAGCTTCCATAACTTTTTCATACTTTCATTTTTTGAAGTGTTTTCACTCCAGCAATATTCTAAGAGTGTTTTCTTTAAAACAAGACCAAACTTGGGTATATTCCAAAGCATTCTTAAATTACAACCATTTAAGTTTGAATAGTGCATTTTAACCCCCATTCTCAAAAAGGGGGGTGACAGCTAAGGGGTTAAAGGTTTACAGGGTGTGTCTCGGGAAAAACCTCAGTGTGTGTAACCGTTGACTGACGACTTGAGCTATATCAGTTCCTGCGGGATCCGTGATCAGCGAAATCCAGACTGTAGGCGTTCCTGTCATTCATAGATCTGTGTCTCTCGTCTAACAGTGTGTGTTTGGAGTCGACGGTACTTTAAGACCTTCCTCAGCGCCTTCCTGCTGACCGTCACGCTCGGGATCGGCATGATGGCTGCGGCCCGACAGCTCCTGAGAGCCAGAGACCACAGGGGCCAGTCCAACCCGGAACAGCCGTTCGATGACGGCCATAAGGTAGTGTGTGTGTGTGTCCTAGTTAACCTTAAATTACCCAACAAGGATGGCAATATCCAAAATCCTTGTCCTGGTGGGGAAATGTTTTGATCCGCATGAGGAAAACCGCATATAAATCACACTGTTTTTTTGGAAAATGCAGTTGGTTTTGTGTGATGGGGTTTAGGGGTCGGGTATACTGTATAAAACCATTGGAAAGTCCCTATAAAACATGAAAACACAACATTTAGATATTATTACAGTATTATTATTTTACATTAGCTTTTAATGTTATAATTTCAGCTTTTATTCCGTTTTAGTTTGTTTTTGTATATGATTTTCTCATTTGTATTTTAAATGTTTTTGATAAAAAAAAAGTCACCAAGGTTGCATTTACTTGATAAAAAATACAGTAAAAACTGTTAAATATTTTTACAATTTAAAGTAACGGTTTTCAATGCGAATATATAGTGAAGTGTAATTTATTCCTGTGACCAAAGCTGAATTTTCAACATCATTACTCCAGTCTTCAGTGTCACATGATCCTTCAGAAATCACTCTAATGTGATGATTTGCTGCTCAAGAAACATTTCTGATTATTATCAATATTTTGTGTAATCCGTGATACATTTTTGTGTTTCAGGATTCTTTGATTAATAAAAAGTAAAAAAACAACAACAAAAACAACTGTTTATTTGAAACATTTTGAATGACTTTTGACCAATTGAATGCATCCTTGCTGAATAAAGGTATATTTTTTAAATAACATTTTAATGTTAGTGTGTGCTGCATGACTAACAATATCAAATAAAAAAAAATATTATCATGAAATAACAATATCTTGCTGTTGTTTCATGTCTTAATGCAGGATCCATCATTCGTCCCCTCGGCCAATGAGAAGACGATAACCTACAGGAGGGACCGCCTGCCGAACCACCCGGTGGAGATGCACTCGCACCTCCCCAAGATGCCCCTGAGCGCCGTCTGGCAGTGACCGGGGTCAAAGGTCACGCACCAAACCAAGCACTACCTGATGGAATACTCGATCTTTCTCTTTAAGCACTTACTTCTTCACGAGAGCAATATCCCGTGTGTGTTTTTTTGTCCTTTACATTCCGTTTCTAATTTATTAAGTTGAATGGCATTAGCTTTCTCTCGTCCTGAAGCCACACAGGATAAAGACGGTACGTGTAAACGCCTGATGTGGTTCACCTCAATCTTCGGCCAGTTATTTGTGGAGATTAAGATCGTCTCTGTTTATTTGTTTGTATGTTTTGTGTCTGTAAGTGGATATGAGAGTGTGTGTGTGTGTGTGATATTTTTGTCAATACACTACAGGGCTCAGAATTAGCATACTATCATACTGCTTTTATTTCTGCAGTATGTATGCAGAAAATACACAGAATTCCTACAATGCAATGGGTTTGACATTTCCAGTGTGATGAAGGAGTTGCATTTGACATCTGGATTAATAATAATTGGACGACAAAGATACTTTTTAAACTAAAAATGCAACATTTTTTTATTTCTGAAGTAGCATGCATTTAAAGGAGTAGTTCACTTTAAAAAAAAAGCTGATTTTGCTGATAATTTACTCACCCCCGTGTCATCCAAGATGTCCATGTCTTTCTTTCTTCAGTCGAAAAGAAATTCGCCAGTCAACTCGTTCATTTTGTTCGTTGAATGAACCAAATTACACGAAAAACGAGTTCGAACAGGAGAGTCACGAACGCTCATCACAGAACAGAGCAAGGCGACCATTTGTGCTTATAAAACTTAAACTTTGTTATTTATTTATTAAATGAGCGATCGTTTTGCTTGATAAGACCCTTATTCATCGTCTGGAATCGTTTAAAGCCCTTTGAACAGTTTGTAGTTTGCACTGAAACTCTCTTTTGGACCTTGAACCGTTTGGTCCCCATTGAAGTCCATTATATGAAGAAAAAATCCTGGAATGTTTTCATCAAAAACCTTAATTTCTTTTCGACTGAAGAAAGAAAGACATTGACATATTGGATGACATGGGGGCGAGTAAATTATCAGCAAAAGTTTTTTTAAAAGTGAACTACTCCTTTAAATGCTTGTGAGGTCATGTGACCCCGATCTTGTTGCATACTGATTGTTTAAAATGCTCTTCTCACGGTACGCTTTAAGCAGTAGTTTATGCATCTGAGATCACATTCTATATGGTATGCGAAAAACAAGAGTAGGGGGCTGTTCAAATACACACACACACACTTGTGATCTCAGCCACTTGAGAGCGTGTGTGTCAGGTTAACACGTACACTAAAAACATGTTGTTTTTTAGCGGTTGGGAAGTAATTAGCCTACTTATTAAATAACTGTACCTACTCCAGAGAGTAAAACGCTGAAATCACATACTCTCTTGAGTAGTTAAGGTACCTATTCTGAATAAGTACTTTACGACCGTCAAAAAATATGTTCTATATAGTATGAGTGTGTGTAGTATGAATGTAAACAGGTGTTCTGTCAATTCATGCTACCCATCGAGATTTGCTACTTGTTGCGTCGCTTCACTGTCATTCATAACTCGTCTCCTGTGGCCTCATGGGATAGTAAAGTGTCCAGCGTATGCACACTTCAGAATCCAACTGGACGAAGAAGGTCATCCGACTGTTTTACACTTGTTTTGTCACAGTCAAGTTAGCACTGGGATTAGACTCCCACCTAGTGTTCATTCTACGCATAACCATTCCTAACCATTTTGTAAGTAGCGGTGGGATTATTATTATTATTTTTGTAGATTGTGAACATGACGTTCAGGTTTATTGTGCTTGTTAATATTTAAGCAGAGATCTCAGAACAGTAAATTATTTTTCTGCACTATTCCCAGCTCCAATTATGCTGCGTAATTCCCTGGTACGACTGGAGTTTAAGGACGTTTCTTCCTACACTAGTTTACTGTATTGAGTGTTAATAATTTACCTGCTGGTGGGTATTTATAGTGTGTGTTGTCGTGTACTACTGAAGCTCCGTTTCGTCCTGATTGAACGACCAACGGACCCATAATGCAGTGCGGTCACCATAGCGTTCCTGTGGCTCTAATAAATTCAGTGTTTACATGGGCGAATTAAGCAGATATTTATTTGTAGTTGTCACTCTTTTTTTCTGTTTTGTTTTGTATAGTGTGATCAGATCTTGGTACAGCAATACAGTGTGTACGTGTGAGACTGCACATTTCTGACTGATTGTGATTGTACTTTTGTAAATCAAACCTCACACCAGCCCCTCTGGTTATGCTTTGTAGTTGGTTTATATTAAAAAAAGAATATCAATAAAAATCATAACAAAGTTTTGAAGTTAAACTGTGTCATAATTAAAGTGTGTTCATATTTAGATTTACGATAAAATACAATATCAAGAATAATAGTTTTTAGTTGAAATTTGATTCTTCATACCAATAATTCGCCTATTTCTGTGAGCGATGACGTTATTATTGACATAAATTCACATAGTGGAAATATTACTTGCAGAAATGTAGTAAAAAATGTAATTAATGGGATCGAGAATTAATTTCCTGGGATTAAATAAAAGTAAACCCGGTTGTTTGCCATAGAGCTGCAGTTCCTTCAGTGAACACTGAGCGGCGCCAGATACTCAAGCCACCGCGTCAGAAACCAGCGAGTTAGTCGAACTATGATGTTTGGCATTGTTTACATGTGTGATTTTATTTTATTATGTTAAGATATTCCGCGATAGTCACTTCCAAATACACAGTTTCCGCCAACCTCATTTAAAAGAATTTAAGATCATGATCATTTAATAAAATAATAATAGTACGTTATAAATGATTAGTAGGCTAGTTACGGCTAATTGATATAGCCTAGCCTATTTATTTATTATTTGTTCTTAATAACGCAACGCACATCAGTCATTATGTAACGGTTACCAGCTGGAGTGGCCTATTTATCCACCAGAGGGCACTCCAGATAAGACTAGGTTTCACACAAACTCCATTTCCCATAAGCCCCGTACCTAGCACTGATTACCGGTGTTGTGCCTAATTTCGACCCCCTGCCAAATTATTACCCCCCTCGTTGAAGTCAGTACCTGATTGCCTAATCCCAACCCCGCCCCTAATCTTAACCCCTCCCCCACAACTAATCCCAGGGGGGTAATAATTTGGCGGGGGTCGAAATTCGGCACAACACCGGCACAGGTGTTCCTCATTTCAACGCTCCATATAAACAGCCCTCAGACTCTCTATCAGGGCGAAGTCTTGTTTTGCCCCGGCGACATTTCTGAGCGTTTTCCCTGTGTTTATCTGGATTCTCTGTTTATCGACCCTCGACTGTTCCTGGACTTTGATTCTCTGTTTGCTGCCTGCCCCGACCCTTGCCTGTTATCTCTGGATTCTGATTGTTGCCGCCTGTCCTGACCTCTGCCTGGTATTGTTTATGCTCTGGATTACCTGCTCTATATTGTATGCCGATCGTTGACTTCTGCCTGTCTGACTATTCTTAATAAATATAAACTGCACATGGATCTGCACGCTTCCGCCTCTCCATGACACATTATGAGTTTTTTAATCAAAACTAACTGATGAGACGTGATTGTATTTTACGTTTAAGTTAATTTCTGTTTATTTTGCACTATTCTTATACAGCACGTGACGTCATTTTTAGCTCATACAGGCGTTGATGTGTGCGTAGTGTCAAAACTCGGTTTGTTTTGTTAGTTAGTTATTATTATAGCTAAGCTATTAGTAGTATTAAAGTTAGTGTTATTATCAACCCACTTCCCTCAGAAACAGTCCATATGCAAGTCAAATGTGACTTTATTACCTCAAAGTAAACGGTCAGTAGATACAAACACATGCTCAATTAAATAATAATATACAACAAAAGAGAAACAAACCGATCGAGTTGATTCGATCCTGAAATTATAAATATAGATCCAAAGTGCGACTCTGATAGACTTCAAAGCACAAATCAAACTCGATGATAAATAGAGTTCCAAGACAATTCTATGTACAATTTCACTTTGCATTGAGACGAATTCAGATTCACTGTCATACTGCACGAGGAAAAGAAGACCAATGAACAGAAATCTCCGAATTATGCGTGCATTTCAAAATCAAAGGAGCACAAAATGAAACTGACAAATACAGAGTTAGAAGACAATTGTGCCTCTGTTGGGAAATAAAATCCTTGATTTTCTTATTTAGCTAATAAAGTGCCTCAGACATGGAGAATCGATATGGCAAATGCAGCGCAAATATGAAAGTTCAGGTTATTTTCATCACTGTATCCATAAAGAACACCTGAGAGCTGATTTACAGTCAAATATGAGAAAACAAAGTTAATAGATCGATAAAAACCCACTGGCCTTTATTTAGTCCATTGCGCGTCCACGTGTGACGCTCTTCAAAACAAAGGCCGTTCTGGTTCTTTGGAGACATTATAGTTCACCAAAAAAACGCGATAAGAACCACTTCTGCAGGTTTCTTGAATTTACTCTAATAAAATAAAGGTTCTGGTGGTTCCGTGTCCTCCTAGGACCCAGGAATAGTGATATTCTCTGACACCAATTTAAAGAGATATCACGTGTTTTGAAGGTTTCGCCATCACAAAAACTTCTCCTTGGTCTTTAAAAATGACACAAAATTGGCAATTGCAATCAACATTTCGGGAGAATGTATGGGGTTTCTAATCCAAATATGACTTTCTGTTAAGAAACAGAAACCTTACGATAATATTCCTGTAAAATAGTAGCCTAGATATTATTATGAAAATGTTGGCTTCTTTTTTACTACATGTTGCCCCAAGAATACATTACAAAATAAAGTGTATTGAATGGGACTATGCAGTTATGGCCATTTTACCCACTTAATTGTAAATTCCTTCCGTTAATTTTTCATAACATAGGTAAGAATCATCTTTATACAAAGTTTGGTTAAAAAAAAAATCCTACAAAAATTGATTGTTTTTGCCATGCACTTTCATTTTATGTCTTGCCACTATACAGAGGACATAGCATAAAATAAGAATAAAAAAACAATTAAAACTTTTTCTTATGCTCTAAACATACTAAATTCAAAAAACGTTTTCTGGGTCTCAGGAGGATGAACCTTAATAGTTTTGTAGAGTTAAAATTGACTCTAAGACGAACATTATGAAACCTTTTTCTAAAAGAATGATATGTTTCTTTGGATATCATTTCTTCAGGTCAGTGTTTCGGGGTTCTTTAATCACCAATACACCCATTTCGAATGAATTTGACAGTAAAGAGTTGTTTTTTTTTTTTTTTTAATTGTATCGTTTATCTTTAATGGTTGTTTTCAGAGGCCGTTCTGCACGGGTTCTGTGGTGTGGATGATGTCCGGGGACTGGCAGGCTGGGCTGCCCGGTACACTCTGTTCGCTGTCGGTATCGCTGCCCTTTTTAACCCCGGTTGACCCGGGCTCGCATGCGCTGTGTGTTTTCACGTGTTTACTGAGATGGTCGCTGCGCATGAAGCGCTTGTTGCACACCGGACAGGCGAATCTCTTTTCCCCGGTGTGTGTGCGTAAATGCCGCTGGAGCTCGTCGGACCTGGTGAAGCGCTTCCCGCAGAACAGCCAGTTACAGACGAACGGCCTCTCGCCGGTGTGCCAGCGCAAATGCGCTTTGAGGTGAGAAGTCTTTCCGTAAACTTTCCCGCAGCCCGGGATGTGGCAACTGTGGAGGCCCTTTCTGCGCAGACTGGCCCCCGCGGGCCCTAACCTCTCCGCCTCGTGGCAGTTCGGACAGTCGCAAGTGGCTCTGCCCGAGTAGCGCCTGCTGGATGAGCGTGGTGACCCGGCGAGCGGTAACACCGGGGACCCGGATAAAACTGCGCCTGTTGCACCGGGACTGGTTTCTGGGTAGGTGGCGGATAAAACCGGTTTGAATCCGTCCATCAGGTGCTGCCCACCAGTAAGAAGATGCGGGGATGGACTGCTACTGAACGCGGGGTGAGTTATGGAGGAATAGTCTGAGTTGTACCCGCTCAGGGGCGAGTGCAAAGAGGTCTGGAGCGCGGCGCCGTTCGCGCTTTGAACATCAATCCATCCGGTGCCCATATCCCACCAAGACGACCCGCTGCCAGTGCCCACGTCCCCGGCGGAGATGCCACCGTGCGCGGATTTGAACCAAGTCTCATACGGGTGCGCGACGCTCATCCTCGGGTAAATCCCCTGCAGAGTGTCCACTTTCGAGATGAACACCGACTGCGCGCTCGGGTCCGGGGAACTGTTCGCGACTGACATCTGAAACACGGGGTAATCGTTTCCAAACGGACTGGTGGACGTGTTCGAGCCCGTTAGGGAGAACGAGGTGTTGGCGCTGAATGTCTCGTTCCGTTGCGCGCCGAACGGGGAGAGAGAACAGCTGCTGGGCGCCGCGCGCTTCCACGGGTGGAAACCTCCTTTTCCAAACGAGCCGCTGTCCGACGAGGGACTCGAGCTCCCGATTTTGTTACAGGTTGCTGCTAACATGGCCAGTGGAGTGGATCCAACCCTCGGTTCCTCCTGTGACCATTAAAAACACATGGTTTACGAGACAAATCAACAACTTACTCCAGCATAATATATATAGCCTACTCTGAAATTGGTCTAGAAACAGAGTTGCAATGCAGCCTTTTCTGCAATAAACTTTACGAGTACGATAATAATAATAATGCAATCAAAATATAAGCTTTTTTTTTGCTTTAAATGTTTGCGATAATTTAAGCATTGTTCTTCGAAAGCAACGAGCTACAATAGTTTAAAAGTAGCTTTAAACTTATATTCTTTTCATTGAATTGAAAGAGAACTTTTTTTAAATTCAGTTTGAGTTTATTCAAACCACCCGAAGACCCAGAAACAAAAACACCAATCTGAAGAACATATCCCGAAACATCTCAATCTCCGGAAATTATTATTTTTGTGCGGTCTTTAAAGAAGTGTCAAGCAAATTTCCGTTTCAATAAACAGTTGAAGAACTTTAGGATCTGCTATAGAGCGAAATCCGAATGTAACTTTCATTACGCAAGATTACGCACATGATTACTGAAGTCTAACGTAGCTACATTAAATCTTAAGATTGCTCTCATTTCAGTTGAAAATCCCAGACACTGTAAATATAAAAGGACACGAGAGATGTAGCCACACTCACCCCAAGAAGTGAAGTTGCCATCACCTGTGAGATGTCTTCACATTTATAAGTCTCTCGGCTGTTTTGGAGACTTTTACCGCCCACCGCTGCACAAATGCGTTCGGCTCGAGCTTTGAAGATCCACCAGACCCCGCTCGACCAATCAGATCAGCGGAAACTGCGAATGCTGCGTTCGGTGATGATGTCATCGGCGGAGCTCTCGGTGACGTGTTGCGCTGGGAATTGTTTACAAGTGGGAAGGGCGGGCGGGTGAACCTTTCGTGGACCTTTTTTTAGGCTAATAATTGTTGGGGATACCCATGTAAGGATAACTAATATTTGATGCTAATGAGATGCATGTGGGTGTTTCTTCATTTTTATTTCGCTGCGCAAAATTCTACACTACTATGAAATGGATATTTAACAGTGAAGGATTAATTTATGGCGGGGTTGAAGTGGGAGTCGCGCGTGCTGGAGCAGCAGCAGCTTCACATTTAGAGGAGATGAACTTCATGCACGAGCTCAATCCCCTTTCATCTCATTCACGCGCATTCCTGCACTCCTGACTATGGGACACACCGTCTGAAATGATCGACAGTGCATTTAATCACAAGTGTTGCAACATATTTAAAGTGCAAGCCAAGGGATGCAAAAGTCTAAGATTACCAGTTGGCTAATGCGTCTATTTTGTGCGCTATTCTTTTCTAACGCATTCTTTGCAAATTGTACAATTTGAGTGCGAAGAAATGAATTTGAGAATGGTTATTTGGTTTGCTTTCATTACAGCAGAACTTGAGAATCACTGCATGATTTGAGGTCATAAAGAGGTTTCAATAGAAGCAAGAAAACCAAAGCAGTTGGTCACAGGTTTAGTTAATTTGATTGGTTATCTAGAAATATTTTTTGTTAAAACTTTTATTTGCTTTGACTTTCAAATTTTATTTTATATTTATTTATGTATTTTCAAAATTAGACTTTGAATCTCAGATATGCAGTGAAAACGAAATGCGCAAAAGTGATACTCAGTGTTTCAGGCGCGCGCTCGGAGGGAAACACATCATCATGCAGTGCACGCGTGCGCATCATGCGTTTAATTTGACTTTCAAATTTAATAAAGAGGTGAGCTTTAATCACACGTGATTTTATTTGTTTGATATTAATGTTCGATCATTACAGGCCAGCGGGGGGAAGTTAATTAATACAAATCTGGCGCGGGATCAATTCAGTTTCCAGGTCAGAATTAGAATAACTCATTTGGTTTTATATAGGCTAATATAATCTGACATAACTACTATTTTAGTAGCTAAAGGTTTCTCTTAATTTGCTCATCTTTATTTACACTTCTAATTGACTGTTTAATTTTCTCTTTTTAATTTCTGGAAATGCGACGTATAAATTGATACAAATAAATTAACGAAATAGTCTTCATATGGAAAATTAGCTAGCTTTATTACACAGTTGTATTCAGTCTATACGACATAAATGGCCTAATTTAGTGAAAGAATGAAACACACGTCTATTTTCTGTTTTGCTGTGCGACTTTTGTTTTTCTTATACAAAATAGTCCACAGCAAAATCGGTCGAACACATATTAGTCGTTTAAGTTTCACGTCCTTTGCAAAAAAAAAAAATTGAAAAATGAAATCATTGTTGTAACTTCGAAGTTAACAGGAGTTCAGAGGTCATGATACAGTAGACCTGCACACATGTGTGTGTGTTGAACAGATGTCTCTCTCTCTCTCTCTCTCTCTCTCTCTCTCTCTCTCTCTCCGCATTCTTTCCCACACGTATATGTGCAGAAATCCCGTGAAGAACCTGTTCTCATAATAAGCGCGTTAACACGGACCATCGAGCACCGACAAAACGCACCGGCCGACAGAGAGAGAGAGAGGGAAGAAGAGGGGGGCTTTAATTGTTTGCTTGTTGGTTGTTGAGAGAACATAAAATATCTCCTCAGAAATGCACAGAGAACCCTTTTAATATCCTGGAATTACATACAATTATGGCCAATCATGAGAAATCAAAGTCCATTGCATTTCGGGATCATATAACAAGAACACTTCTCACTGGAGGAATTTGCTTGGAGATTTTATTTTCAGCCATGTTTTTCCTCAAATAAATCTTTCTTTCTTTTTTTTTATTCTATGAAGAATTAAATTCCCCTTCCCAGAAGTCACTTTTTTATGATTTCTCTGTTTCATTCATCCTCACTTTACTGCACATTGTTGACATTATTGCGATATTTTGGACCTGCTTTTATGACACTGTCTGAAAAGGGCATGTCTGTCAGTCAGTGTGTGTGTGTGTGTGTGTGTGTGTGTGGATTATTAAACAGGTTAGGCAGCTGTGTGAAGACGAGTTTCAACCATGCTGTAGTCACACTTTGGATATAGGTGTCTCCATGGAGCAAGCTAAAGCTTAAATCTCTCTGTCAAGTATTTTTAATGATGTCCTCTTTTGGGAAAAAACATAAATAAATAGGCCTACATTTAATTTTTTTCTTTTCTTAAACATTTAAGTTTTATCTTAGGTGTAATAGTTTATCATGAATCGTATATGAAAGGAATATGAAGTAGCAGTGTGTCTTTAATTAGAAGAAGCCATGTAAATGTGTGATATTTGTGTGTATGTGTGTGTTTAGATTGACAGTTTCCTCTTGTTATCCTCTGAAGAGGGAGTGTTTCTCCTGAGGACATGCTGCACGCGGAAGTTATTCGCTGTCTGTCATCATGAGAGTGTGTGAGATGACAGAAAAGAGTTAGAAACAACAAGAAACTCTCTGATCGTATTTAATCAAAAAGGAGGCGTTAGGCAGAATACATGCTGCTCTTTTCCATACACTCTTAAAATCAAAGGTTCGAAAATTATATGCATTTATGTCCATTTTTGGTTCCCCAAAGAACCATCTTAATAATCTGAAGAACCCTTAAAGAACCCTTTGCACAATGGAAAGTTTTTATGGATTTTAAAGGCTCATTCGCCATGCAAGAATCTTTATTTTTAAGAGTGTATGATAAATATTTGACTATATGAGACACAAATGAGATTCATGAATGTCTTGCATTTGGTCCGTTCCACACACAAAGCCATTTTATTACTTTGGAAGTCCTTGTTGATGGGCTTTTTGGAGTCCTCTTTCAGTCTTTGTTTGAAAAAAGAGCGTTAATAATTAATATTAATTTGTACATTTTCTGTTTTCATTTTAATCTCAGTTAAAGTTGTTGTCGTTTTTGGCAACTGTAGCTGAAATATAATAAATGTTTGTTTTTAAAATATTTTATTTCAGTTAATTTTCAATAAATGTATTTTTCTAAATGTTTCATTTCAGTTAAAGTTTATTTTATTCCAAGTAACAAAAATGTGTTTTTATGCTGTAAAAAAAAATATTTTCATGATTTGTAAATCACATGTTTTCATTTGTCAAATCAACTTAAATAATTTATATAGTTCAGATTACATAATATTTGGAGTTTCTGATGGTTAAATCAATCTCCTTCATTGTATTAACTCAACTTAAAATTTTAAGTCAACCAGGTTACTTCATTTTTTAGTTTCACAGTTAAACCAACACTATTTTTTACAATGTGGTTTTAGTTATCTACATTAAAAAAAATTAATTTTTCTTTTGCTAGTTTTTGCACACATATTTGTTATGTAATTTACAATCTTAAGTAAAATGAACTAAGATAATAAGTGACTTTAACTTAAGTCCTAATACAGAATTTTTGAATTCTTGTCAGAACTTATTCATGTAAATTAGTTTTTTTCCATAGTAGGCTACACTTCATTAAAGAATCATTTTTTTTTGAAGCAGTGCATAATAACGCTGTTACATTAGATCAGATGAGAAGTGTCGCCGCTGTTTCTGCTGTCTGTCTCGCTCTGATCATCCACTAGAAGGCCGAAGACGATCCTTCATTAGAGCTCAGACCTGCAGATTTCCCAGAGGAATCGGTCTCTCTCTCTATTAGGTTGATTTGTCGTACGCTAAACACACTCTGCATTGTTTTTAATCAACCTCTTGTCCATCAGCAGACGTGATAATTTATGGCAAATCGACAGAAAAGACGGAGACGGATTTTGCGAGCGTTCCGGAGTCCTCGAGGTCGCAGAGGTCAGGCATCATCATCGTGTGTCTTCCTGAGTGAATTCTGGGTAATGTAATTAGTGTTGCGGAGAGGTCTAGACTGTAATCGTCTAAGTTCATTTATGTACATTTGCATGATGATATTTCATGATTACAGAGATAACTTGGAAAATGGTTTTGTCTGATATATATATACAGGCTATATATCACTGCTGACTTAGCAGAAATAATTTGAATTTGATTTGTGATTTTTATTTCCGGTAAACGGTAAACAGCACACAAGTCTCTGAATAGTGGTCGGCTGATCCTGAGTGAATCCGAGAGAGAAAAAGACAGATCCCCAGGGAATCATAGAGATGACAGGTTGAATTATGGGTCAGCCGAGACAATCACATCCCCCATCATAACATGATCATCTAAATCAGAAGCCCTGATAGCACTCTGAGTCAGCGTCCTTCCACGACGCCAAAGTATGTGTGTTGTGTACGTTTATTATTATAGGTTTGTTTTTGTGTGATTTTGTACATGAGGCTGTAGTGTATCATATGTGCTCTGGTTTAATCAAAGCTCTCCCACCAGCCTCTTATTGACAATCATTCTGTGGGTAAGGTTAAATGAAATTGCAGTACGTCAGGTTTTCTTTGTGAACTGAGCAAAAGTGAAAGATGGATAGATGGGTAGAGAAAGAGAGGGAATGGCAATAGATAGAGAAAGTGAATCTTCCTCCAACCAGTGATGGATGTGAACACTGATCAACACAAGAGCGCCATTAAGTCGTTCATCAAAAGCATAATTTAAACACTCACCACACCTGCAGTTTTCAAACATAGAGTGCACATGCATGTATGTGTGTTAGGCTATATGTGTGTGTGTGTGTGTAACAAGGAGCTATCAATACAATTTCAAATCCATTGTATTATTGGATATAAATTAGCCAGTATATGTGACAGGATTATGAATTATGGCTGATTTGGCAATAAAACAGTCTGCAATAATTCTGAAACATCAGTAGGCTAAATGAGTGAGTTGTAGTGG